ATAGATAGACAGACAGACAGAGATAGATGATAGACAGATAGGTATATAGATTCATAGAGATGGTAGAGATATAGACAATAGAGAAAGATGGATAGGTACAGATAATAGTAGATAGATGATAGATTGGGATATATGTTAAAGAATTCATAAAATAGTGATTTCAGAAAAGGATTGCCATAAGAGCAGAGCAAAGAGCTACGTGTGGAAGTACAAGATCATTCTTTAAGGGAGCAGAACATATGTGGCCAGTCAAAGGTGACTTTGCTTTCATCCAAGAGCGGTGTGTATTTTGCGCAACGGGTGACCTTAACTTACCTGGGAAAGTAATGCTTTACAGCCTAGCTAGCCAACCTATTTTGTACTTGCACAATTCAAGCCTCGAGTTCAAAGTCAATTGGCTGAGTTCCCCTTTTTCATTTCGAAATCCCATTCTAGGTTTGTGAAAGAGAAGAGGCCAACCATTTCTCCTAACTTCAACTTTCTCGGTCAACTTCTGGACTTTGAAAAGAAGATCAAGAATCAGGGGGGCACGAGCGGACTTGTTAGCAAACTCAAGCTTTTGCATTTGGAAAATGGCAGCAACCATGGAGCAGGCGGTGGAGTCCTGAGGGGCCCTTCTCAGCTCTGTGCTTCCTCTACCTCAGAGAACATGGAGCAAAAACCCCGGGAGCCAGGAACCCCCCCGGCTCCCCCTCTCTCGCCATCTGCAGAGGGCGGCTCCTTGGTGCAAAGCCGAACTGGGTTAAACGTCTCCTCCGATAAAGTTGAAGACAGCAACCGATTGAAGCGGTCGTTTTCCTTGGATATCAAGTCAGTCTCTTGCGCCGCGGGCAACGCTTGCCTTACCGCTTCAGGACCCGGGTACCCATCCTTGGAAGACACGTTGGAGTTCTACAAGCATTCGGCCACTTTGGAAGCGGGCAGCAAATTATGCCAGTTCTCCCCTGTTCAGGAAGTTTCAGAACAGACACCCGAGGGCAGTCCTGATAAGGAACACACCAAGCTGCCGGAGAAGTCCCACCAGGGCTGGCCGCCGGACAGCCAGAACAAGCGGCAGCATTCAGGAAGGGCCACGTGTCCTGCTCAGAGGTCGTCCTTGTATCCATTGCATCGAAGCGGCAGCATGGAAGACAATTACAGAACCAACTTCCTCTTCGGCCTTTCGGCCAGTCAGCAACATCTGGCCAAGTCTGCAGCTGGGCTGGGTCTCAAAGGCTGGCATTCGGACATCTTATCTCCTCAAACCTCCGCGGCTTCCTTAACCGGCGGCTGGTATCTCACCGCTGATCCCTCCCATATTTATTCCGCTTCAGCCGTCTACGGGAGGAGCGCCACTTATTCGGCCTTCAGCTGCAGCCAGCTGCCCACAGGGTGTGAGCCGACGTACGGGGTGCGCCGGAGAGAAAAGCACGGGGAGCGAGGCGACTCCCGGCGGAGCTGGCATGAGGAGAGCTCCTTTGAGAAGCAGTTCAAGCGGAGGAGTTGCCAGATGGAATTTGGGGGAAGTATCATGTCGGAGAACAGGTCCCGAGAGGAACTTGGGAAAATGGGGAGCCAATCCAGCTTCTCAGGCAGCATGGAGATTATTGAAGTATCTTGACTCTCTTCGATGAATATTTTTTTTCCCCCATTCCTCTTTCCACCCAATTTTCTATAAAAACAATTCCCTGTAAATCTGAAATTTCACAATACTGTTCAGCTCCGGTATGGACGAAAATTAACAAAACTGATTGCGTGTGCGTGCATGGGGGTGGCTTTTGTGTGCGTGTGCATGCACCCACAGAGGCCCCATGAGTGTATTCCAGAGAGATTAAATGGTAAAATTTAATTTTGGCAATATAGACAATCAGCTCTTTTCTTGCCTTACATGTTCTCATCACCTTAAGGCAAAAAAAAAAAAAAATGCAGCTGTTTTCCTAAATTTCC